GAGCTGCACCTCTGCCCCTATCGCGACTTCTACCGCGACCTCGGCCTTTCGCGGCCCTAACTGGTGGTACTGGTGGCTGTCCATCCTGTCCGGTAGAACGTGTACTCACCATCTGTGAGAGAATAGAATAACAGAAGTTTAGTTACCGGAATCAACAAATCCGCACGATAAAAATACAAGAATGTGAAGTTTCCTAAGGGTTCGGAAGCCTTTCGAAGATAAGTACAGACGTCTACGTACTGATCCACAAGACTCTACTAAACCTGATCATGACTCGTGAGACCTATGTAACCTAGACTCTAATACTAACTTGTCACGATCCAAATCATAACCAGTCATGATGGCGCCTATCGTGGTGCTAGGAAAGCCGATATTTACGAATAACTCCAATAATTTTAACAAAAATAGATTTTTAAAGCAGTTTAAATAACAACTTCTCATAAACAAGATAGAAAGATCCAAACACAATGCGGAAAACTCCCAAATCGGGGTGTCACAGAGTACATGAGCATCTAAAGATCACAAGTCAGGAATATATTGTCTAAGATAATCTGAAATGAAATACAATAAAAGGAAAGATAGGGAAGGAGAAACAAGGAGTGCGAATGCCGGGCAGCTACCTCGAAGTCTCCAAGGTCAACTGTGTAGAGTATCAACACTCACCGTATCTGGAAACACCTGGATCCGCACACGAAGCGCAGGGTGTAGCGTGAGTACAACTAACTCAGTAAGTAACAAGACTAAATAAAGAACTAAAGATAGTGACGAGCTACACAGTTATAGTTCAATTTCAGTAGTCTTAACAAGGAGAAAATAGGCATGCTTTCAAATTCGGCAATTTAAGTCAAATCAGTTTATTCATGTCAGGTTCAATTAAAACCGGATATAATATCTCTCAGAAATTTCAAAGCAGTGATATACGGTTGCTAAGTGCAACAATAAGGAAATCAAATGAATCCTCTCAGAGTAACAATCACTCAGTCCTCCCATTCACTCCAACATCACAATCACTCATTTTCTCACAGTCACTCATTACTCTCAGTTGCTCGGCACTCGCACTCAATAGGTACCTGCGCTCACTAGGGTGTGTATAGACTTCAGAGGGGCTCCTTCAGCCCAAGCGCTATATCAGGCCAATCATGGTATAAATCAATAAAATATGTTGCGGCGTGCAACCGGATCCTATAAACATCTTCACAATCAGGCCCTCGACCTCACTTAGTCATCAACCTCTCCGGTCTCTCGAGCTCTCAAAAATCATGAAAATCAGCCCAAACAACAATGATATGATGTATCAACAAGGAATAATAGAGACTAAGATATGATATGCAAGTAAAACTGAGACTGAGTACGAATAACAATTACCAGGTAATTCAACATGTAACGTGGCCTCTGTGGGTCCCAACAGTACCAACACATAGCCTAAACATGATTTCTAACATAATTTGCAGTCAAATTTCTATAACACATGGAGAGCATATAGCTGACAACAAGTTATTCGACTTCATAGTTCCATGGAATGGACCAAGTCACAATTCCTACGGTGCACGCCGACACGCCCGTCACCTAGAATGTGCGTCACCTCCAAACCAATCAGAAAACACATAATACGAGGTTTCATATCCTCAGAACCAGATTTGGAATTGTTACTTACCTCAATCCGTGCCAATCTCTACTCCAACACACCTTTGCCTCGCGAATTGGCCTTCAAATGCCAAGAATCTAACCACAAACAATATGATACAATCAACACGGGCTAAAGGAATCAATTCCACAACAAAATACGAGATTATAAGTCAAAAATACGAAATCGACTGTAAGCTGGTCCCCGGACCCACATCATGAAATCCAACAAAAGTCATAAAATCCGAAAACCCATTCAACCACGAGTCTAACCATACCAAATTCATCAAAATACGACACCAAATCGCCACTCAAAATTCCCAAAATTAACTCTCCAAATCCCAAGCCTCAACCCCCAAATTACACCTAAAAAATACACAAACTAGGTGGGAAAATCAATGGGGAAACAAGATTATTGATAAAAAACGAGCACAAGGAACTTACCTCAAGAATCTTTTCAAAAACCCTCTCAAAAATCGCCTAAGTCCGAGCTCAAAATGTTAGAGATGGTGAAAATCTCGAAACCCTCGTTTTTATATGTTCTGCCCAGGCTTTCCGCTTCTGTGGCATCGCTTCTGCGGTCCCTTATCCGCTTCTGCGGAAATCACCTAATGCGACCAACTGCTTCTGCAGTCCATATCCCGTTTTTGCGGGTGCGCATCTGCACAAACCTTCCGCTTCTGCGGACCAGTGGCTCCCAAGCCAATTCCGCTTCTGCGATCCTCTACGTGCAGGTGCGAGTCCGCACCTGCGGAAAGCATCTACGCTCCACAGTCCACCAACCCAAGCTTCGCTTCTGTGCATCCCAGCTTGCACCTACGAGCTCGCATCTGCGGTGCCCATTCCGCAAGTGCGACTACACCAGCAACTGCAAATCTTCAGCAATTCTTTAAGTTCAATACTTGATCCGTTAACCACCCGAAATACCCGAGACCTCCGGGACCTCAACCAAACATACCAACAAGTCCTATAACACAATACGAACTTAGTCAAACCCTCAAACCACCTCAAACAGCATCAGAAATACGAATCGCACATAGATTCAAGCCAAATGAACTTTGAAACTTTCAATTTCTACACCCGATGCCGAAATCTATCAAATCATGCCCGATTGACCCCAAATTTTTCAAACAAGTCACAAATGACACCACGGACCTACCCCAACTTCCGAAATCGGGATCTGACCCCGATATCAAAAGTCCACTCCCGGTCAAACTTCCCAAAAATTCAACTTTCGTCATTTCAAGCCTAATTCCACTACGGACCTCTAAATCACAATCCGAACTCGCTCCTAACTCTAGAACCACCCAACGGAGCTAACAGAACGATCAAAACTCTATTTCGGAGTCGTTTACACGTAAGTCAACATCCGGTCAACCATTTCAACTTAAGCTTTCCATTATGAGACTAAGTGTCTCAACTCACCCCGAAATCTCCCCAGACCCGAACTGACTAACCAGGTAAGTCATATAATAGCTATAAAGCGCAAAAGAAGCAGTAAATGAGGGAACGAGGCTAAAACTCTCGAAACGACCAGCCAAATCGTTACAAGCGTATACTTCATTCAACCCTATGAGAAATTATATCGGTCCCAAACTTGTTCAATATTGTGTATATGCTCATGGCTCCATATTCCATTGACATCTGTACTAGATTTTAGCACTTAAAGTTTTCAACTCTTCCCATAACTTCTTCATCCCAGTATTATAACCAGTTATGTTAAGATTTACTTGTGACATGTCATTGATTTCCTTCGAATTTGACATAATTTTGTACCATTAGTCTTATCATAGCAATCCTCAAGTTCCTTCTGTATCTCGACTGTATCATTTACATACTCAATACTATCAGCAATTTCATTAGCTAAGAAAATCAAAATCTTTGAGGTCACCATATCATCGCGCCTTTCCCATACTAATTCGATGATTCTGAGAGTCTTTTACACTCTCTATTAATAAAATATTATTTATTTTTGGCCAGTAATACTCGCAATCCTCTTCATCTCTAGAATCAGTATTCAACTCTATACAAGGAACTTGTAATAACGTCACACCGAAATTATCAGAGGGGTGAATATATACTCGTGTCAACAATAGATTGATTACTCGATTCAATAGTGAATTATTCATTTTCATAATAGGCATGACAAAACAATTTGATTTATGAAATTGAAAAAGAGTTCATAACAGATTTTGAGTGAAATTCACGAATTTCCAAAAATTTAGTGATTTGAACTGAAATAAAGCTTGCATGTTTAGATCGAACATAGAAAGAGAAAGAATTAGAACTTCTAATACCATATCAAATTACAGTTATAAGATGCTACTTGAGCTATAGTTGAGCTTCAATTAATAATCTCTTCCATCTTCTTGAAGGGATTGAAGAAGAACTTAATTTGGGAAAGTATTTCATTATATGTAATGACTATGAGCCCGTTTGGACATAAGAAATTTTTCACTTTTTTTTCGAAAAGATTTAACTTTTTTTCGAAATCAGTATTTGGTCATAAAATTTTCAATTTTCACTTGAAGAAGTATTTTGGAATTTTTCGAAAATTTGAAAAACTCCAAAAAGCTATTTTTCAAAATTTTCACTCAGAGCACTCACAAAACTTCAAAAACAATCCGAAATTATATTCATGTACAAGCACAACTCTAATTTTCAAATACCATTTTCACTTGAAATTTTTTTTTTTATTTTTTTTTTTGGAACTTCACAATTCTTATGCCCAAACGCCCACTATATTATATACCCATTTGAGACAAAAGAAAAATATCTAGTAATTAACCAACTAATGAGCTGGCACCAGCTGACACATAACTAATTGTTAACCTAACTACTTACTAACTGCGATACAATCAGCTAAGCACTAAGCTAAACAATAATTATTTAACTCTCAATATTATTTTAATTACACAAATGATATACCATGTTTAATTTAATGTCACAAGTTTTTAATATTATATAGCCACATAAATACTATATTATGTTCCAGATTATAAATTTAATTTGTATATTTTTTCTTAAAATTTTTTGAGGATTCAACTAATGTCATATAAATTGTAAAGGAGGGAGTATCAAATACATCCTAGGCTCCCAGGGGTAAAAAGAGCAATTGGATAAACGATAGCATGGCGAATTAGTCATAAGAGAGAAACAGATATGGATAAGCTAGAAAAATGAGCTGGAGAAGGGGCAATGGGGTAAACTTACGCGTGTGGGACCCACGGATCTTTTTCCCACATCCACCCAACATCTTTTGCCGATTTTTCATTAATTTAAAATATATCAGTAAAAACTATTTCGACAGAGCAAAAAAAAAAAGGTACACACTACATTAATAGTATTTCCTCTTTAAAAAATCCTACAATCTTTTTTTGGTTTCTGTCTCTACTATTTGCTTCTTCAGCGAATTTTGCTGTTACATGCCAAATACCAGCAAAACCATCTCTCTCTCTCTCTCTCTCTCTCTCTCTCTCTCTCTCTGTTAACCAATTCCTTGTTCTCTACTCTCTTTCTTCATATTTCCTCTTTGTTTTCAACGACAACACTGGTACATTATTCGTTCGAATATTCTATAATTCTCCCTATACTTTCTCTCTCTACATCTTCCCAGGTTGATGCCGTTTCCCCTGCACTAACCGGTGAGTTTCATCTCTTCCAAATTTCTCTATATTTGCACTTCCTTTCATGAGTATATGATATATCATAGGCTTTTCTCTGTGGCTCGAGAATCTTCTTTTGTGGTTACAGTTAGCAAATTTTGAGCGAATTCTATTGCATTTTGTATTTATCTCTTCGAGCTCATTTTTCGTCTCTTTTTTTCTTGTTGCTGATTTGAATTAGTAGAGTGCCGATTATACTAATCTTGGACTCGAAGATGCTTTATTTGCTTTTTTCTTAAGTTAAAATGTGCTGTTTGATTTATCTTCAGACAACAGCTATACAATTTTCCTAACTTGTTCCCTAGCGGTTTGAATTTGAACCAATGCATTTATGTGTATTTTTGAATATGTAGTAACACACGCCCTATAATTGGACCTTATGATGATTTGATTTGATTGATTCTCCATTTTATCTTTTTTCTTAGTGATAACAAACAAAAATCAAATTTGATCATGAAATGGTGATTTTCTATTTATAGCGCACAAATGTTACTAAAGAATCATAATAACATTGACGGAATAGTGAATACCTAAATGCTTATTATTACGTTCACGAGTTTTATTGATAAAAAGATCATATCAAGGGGAGAGAGCATTTGGTGTATAAAAGAGCAGCCTAACCATATCACCTCTCTTGTTTCTTTTATCATTTCTGTCATCTTCTGGCTCACCGTGTGTGTAACGGACAACTAAGAAAAGTTCTTTTTGCTTCTCTTTTACGTGTTTAATCCCGCAGTTTTTATCTATTTAAACGATTGAAGGTAGCATGATTTTTTATGTTCTATTGATTTTTTTTTTCCTGAATTTTTTGACAGATATGCTAGGAATTGACAGAAAATAGTGGCTGTTTTTAGATGATAACCACTGCTTGCAGCTTGTGAAGGCTGCATTTAAGCATGTTGATAAGTTTTCAGTTCATTTTCAATTACTCTTTCAATGAGAAGTGGATTTTTTACAATATACTGTATCATATGCCACATATAAAGCCTGATTTATGTCAACAACAACAAGAAGAGCACTGTTTTTACAGTGTAGAAACCTCTATCAAGAGGTGAGAAGTCCATTGAGCAAGAGTTGGTCTGTCACTCATTTGTAAATCTAAAGATGGAAAAGTAAGGTCTTTGTTTGGATGGCGATTAGATACTTAAATGTTGTTTCAACCTTGTGATTTATCCATTTCTTATGTGCGACTTTATTATCCCAGATATAGAATATTGAAGGAGCTTGGAGATGGAACCTGCGGAAATGTATATAAGGCTCTGAATATGGAAACATATGAGATTGTAAGTGATTATTTACTTTACTAAAATTTACTGTTTCATTTATCCATGTATCCGAATCATTTTTTTTAATTTCCTCTGTTCAAAGAGGAAAGCACTACTATTCTTTCAGAAATGGTCTGAATAGGATGTTTCAAACATTTTTAAATATTTGTTCCTTAATATGTACTTGTCAAATAAAAAAATTAAGAATCAATATTTAGATTAGACATTTATATGTAGATGCGTTGATCCCCTACTTTGAATCCCGCCATTCTTTCTTGTGATGGAGGGAGTAGTTGATATAAGAGCATGTTCCAGGATCTTGTTCTGCAAAATTTAGGCCTAACTGTGAAGCTTGATCTTTGAGAGAAGTTGTTGTTTGTGCGCCTTCAACTAGTTTTGGATTGAGTGTAGTAGTAATAGTTATTCTGTGTGTGCATGTTTGGGAGTTGTGTGCTTGAATTAATGAAAACCCGTTAGTTTAAGCGCTAGCGCCTAACATATCAAAGACTTGAGAAGTAATGGTAGAACTAACTTTGCTACTTGTCCTTGGTTTCCTTCATAATACATTTACATGGGTGCATCTCATATGCACCAGTAATTACACATGGAAATTCCTAGATTGCCTAGCTTTGGGTAGTACATTTTGGGAGTTGATGGGCATGTTAGGTTCAAACCACCTGATAAAAAAATGTTACCTTCATGTAACAATTAGCAAGACTCATAATTAGGGTGACATTGAAGAAAATGGAATACCTTATATATAGAAATTTCTATGTCAGTCCTTTTCCTCTTATTTCCGTCTCGGTTTCTCCTCTTGATTAATATTTTCTCCTTCTCGGAATACCTTGTAAGTTTTCCACCTAGTGTCTCATAATTTAGACATTTTTATAACTCTATTTTAGATATTTGAATTAACCGAAACGCCACACCCATATTCATACTTGGATTCGTATTCCCGAATTTTAAACTTTAGATGATGAAGAATCTAACCTCTAGATCCGCACCCATATCAGACACCTGCACCCGAGTCCGAGCAACTTAGGTTTCTTGTCTACGATGATGAGATGTTGCTCTATTGTCTTCACCTTTTGGAATGAGCAAGTGTTTTCTTACCACTAATTTTGTCTCTGCTTCCCCTACTTCTGATGGAGTTATGTCTAGTTGTGTACAGGTATACTATTTCCCAATATGGATATCTGTATGCTTGGAATTCCATAGGATGCTATTTCTTATCCAAGAATGTAGCTTAGCTAGATTAACTAATGTTTTGCAGGTTGCGGTCAAGAAAATGAAGAGGAAGTTCTATTTTTGGGAAGAATGCATTAATCTACGTGAAGTAAAGGTGGGTGGCTTTGTTCTCAACACTTAATTGACTAGAAACATTGACAAAAGACTGTCGACTAACAAGGCTTAATACTGTTAGAGTTGCTTACGTGTATTAACTTGGTCTCACTGACTTTCTAGTGTTTCTCTCTGCAGTCCCTTCGGAAATTGAATCATCCTAACATAATCAAGCTGAAGGAGATTGTGATGGAAAACAATGAGCTTTTCTTCATATTTGAATACATGGTAGCATTTGAGACTTTTAGCTATAATTTCTATTTTATTAGCTTTTTTTCCTCTTTGTCTTTGCAGTAAAATCTCTAAATACTTGTGAATGCAACAATTTCAATTAACATAGGCTGCATTTATGTCACTATAGAAATTAAGTGGCTTTTAGCTTCAGAATCTTGAAATATTATGTCGATGTGAACCTCTTTAGTATCTCCCTTTGACCTGTATCTAGGAATGTAATCTTTACCAATCAATGAAAGAGCGACAAAGACCCTTCTCAGAGGAGGAGATCCGGGGATTTATGTTGCAGGTGCTGCAAGGACTCGCTCACATGCATAAAAATGGTTATTTCCATCGGGACTTGAAACCTGGTATTGACTATTGAGCTATCAAATGATTATCTGTATTTCATGCAGCTTACGGATATTTTTCTTTGCGGCAGTGTGAACCTTAATTAGTAAACTTTGTTCTGTCTCAGAGAATTTATTGGTGACAAATGACATAATTAAAATTGCTGACTTGGGATTGGCTAGAGAACTGTCATCAATGCCACCTTTCACTGATTATGTTTCAACTCGTTGGTGAGTTATCTCCTCTACTCTCAGTGCATTATTCCTCTCCATGTGCTACTAAATATTTTGCTTCTGATGGGATGAGTGTTTATATGTTTAAAAGGTATCGAGCACCAGAGATCTTGTTGCAATCTTCTTCATACACACCTGCCATTGGTATGCACTGTCCACTCACTGTTCTATTCCAGAGGCTTCTTGAGTAATGCACTGGGTTTTTATTTGACACCAGCCAGATGCTGTATGTTTAGAAGCTAAAATTTGATTATTTCAGATATTGCCTTGGACCATTGTGCTCTGCTTACGTTCTTGATCTTGAGTATTATTTATCAACAGCAAAATGTTTACAATCTTGAATATTATTGTCAGTAGCTTTATATTTGGCCTTATTGAGATTAATTCTCAGTACATGACTGGGCATAAATTCGTTTGTGAAGTTTTATACTGGAACAAGATAAAGGCTACCGGTGAGTTTGATTGGAATAGTATTTTGTTAGCTGTCACGGCTCTTAATAAGGTTAAATAAGCTTTAATCAGTTGGAAGGTTATATGAAGATAAATAAGACAATTCCAATAATTTCCTTGAACTAATTTCAAAATGCCTGACTCGAGTACATTAATGTTATGATTGAAAGTGATAGCTTCTTAGGATAATAAAAGCTGGAAGGAACAAATTTTCCGCTTAAAACCTTGTCCTAGTACAACCTTATTGCCTTCATCCCATTTTTTGTAATCTTAGTTTGATTGGCACATAGAATAAGAGTATAACTAAAAAATTGCACAGGCACCCAAAACTAATGATTAAGGTCTAGTTTGTAGATAGTTGAGTTGGTATTCGAGAGTTTGAACTTGATTTAGTTTTGCAATTACTTTTGGTATATACCCTTTGTTCTGCAATCTGTTCCTTGCCTCATTTTTATAAGCTCTACAATTGGCAGAAATAACCAGTCAATTGTTGTTATTGGTTGCTTCTTTGAATAGTTCCTTGATGTTTTCTTGCTTATATACCGTTATTCTTTGTTATTGGTATTGTGTAACATATGTAAACAACCAACACAGATATGTGGGCAGTTGGTGCAATACTTGCTGAACTTTTCACTTTGTGCCCAATTTTCCCTGGTGAAAGGTAATCTCATGGCCCATAATTAGTTACGTGAAAATGATGTGCTATATTCCTTCTTTTGGAGCTTAGACTTCTTTTTACCTCATATAGTTAGAATGCTTGTTGCTTTCGTGAAAATTTAAAGAGATACTGATATATCTTGAAGTACTCTCATAGTCAATTACCCAGCATTATTCTGATGTTGCAAGATTCTTTTCTGCTAGTAAATTGAAGCTTGATTTATTTGAATATTAAGTCAAATTATTTGGAGAACTGTAAATTTTGAGCTTTCTAATCTTCTTTTCCTATGGTCAGTGAAACTGATCAATTGTATAAGATATGCTGCATTCTTGGACCACCAGATTGGACTATCTTCCCAGAAGTGAGAAGTGCTTCACGATTGGTTGATATAAGTAATTTAAATGTAAGTCTAACTTGAACCTATTGCAAGTTTCCTTCCATTTTCATGTGATCTCTCTTACTGATATGTGCATTCGCATGCTGATGTGTGCACTAACACATTAGTTCTTTCCTTCTGTTATTATCCTTTCTTTTTGGCAGGTTTCACCAGTCAATCTGTCTGATGTCATTCCAAATGCAAGTTTGGAAGCTATTGATTTGGTCAAGGTTGTTCTTTGTAATCTCTACCATATTGCCATTTTTCCCATGAATTAGAAAATACTTAACAATTTATGCCTTCATATCATAGCAACTCTGTTCATGGGACCCTTTAAGGAGGCCAACTGCTGAACAATGCTTGCAGCACCCTTTTTTCCATGTAAGATATTTCTCTTATTTGTCATTTGCTTACTCTAATTAGAATTTGCTAGCGGCATGATTGGCATCTTTCCGTAATGGTTGAATAAGTTACTGCTTGCTAATAAATTAGGTTGGTAAGTGGATACTTGAGCCACTAGAGGATCCGCTGCAGCTTAAGTTAAGCAATGGTGGTAAGAACTCACAAAACAGTTTTAGCCTTAGTGTTATCTTTAACAAGTCTGTGAAGCTAACCTCTGTTTCTGCAGGACCTAAGCCAAATCTTGAGTTGAACCTCTGGGACTTTGGGAGACAAAAAGATGATCATTTTCTTGGTTTAACTTTGGCAATTAACCCAAGTCCTCCTAGCTTGGGTATGTATTTTATATTTTTCATTATTCCTGTTACTTGCAGGGCAATATGCTTTCCATTTTCTTTTTCATGATACCTTTTGCAGACGTGAAATATAAATTCGCAACAGTCTCATGTCTTTGCTGCGATGCACATCTGCCTGTGACTCAATCTGTTGCAAAAACTGCATTTACATGTCTGCCTAAGAGTCAACTTTGCTAACAAAAATTGCAGTTTGGTTGATGTTAATCCTGGATCTTATCATAACTGGTGCATTCTTCCCTGTTTGTCTCTTATAAGTGATGCCTACACCACCATACTCCCTTAAAAGAAAAATAAATGAAAAAAATTTCCCAGTAAAAAGAGTTACACAAATAAAAAAAAATCCTTAAAGAAATAAACTATCATTGTCATTAGAATTAACTTCTATTTCAAGTGACAGAGATTATTTTTGTTTCAAGTAGAAGTGATTGTTCCCATTTAGTTTCTGTCTTGAATTTAAATTTCAAATTTTTTACTTTTCTATTTTCTCTTTCTAGTTGCGCCTTTCTAAAACTATTTTACCTTGATCATGTTATATAGATTTATTTCCGGTGGAAATGACAAGTAGAAGTCGAGGCACAGGAACGGTAAGTTGTATTGTGTTTTCTTTTCTCAGTAGCTTTACTCACTGTTTTTAGGGTTTTCTTTTACGATGCTCCTGATCACATAGCAGTTACATTGGCCTGAATAATTTTCTGGCGACAAATGGCAGGATATGTTGTTTTGTTCTGATTTTCAGGGTCACCTACAGCAATCAGGTAGGTTGTGTACATCTCTTGATATCTTTAATACCTTATTGTGTTGACCATTGTAGAAATTTATGGGACTTGTCCTCGCTGCATATAATAACCCCATCAGGACATCTTTGGGTTCTGTTCTTTAAGCATTTAGACCTTAATATTCAATGTTATCATTGCTGATGCCCTTTTATTTTTAATTTCTTTTTTAACAGTTTTTGGGTCATTGCTTCCTCCTGATCACCATCAAACCTCTGTGCCAATGGAGTCGTCATCATTCAGGTCAGTTACTATTCTTCTAATTAAACTTCGGTCGGTTGTTTAATAGTGTTCTATATATGGAGTACGGCAAAGGAATACATCTTCCTTCTCTTTACGAATTTCTACACTACTAAGGTTTCCAACATCAATATCCCAGTATATTCCCACAGTGTGAGGTCTGATGAGGGTAATGTGTACGCAGACCTTACCCCTACCTTGTGGAGGTAGAAAAGTTGTCTCCAGTAGATCTTTGGCTCAAGAAAAGCAATACTCGGCAGGTTGAAAAAGAGAAACAATAGTGAAGAAGGCAGGTTGAAAACGATGAAGACAAGAATAATAGCAACAACAAAATAACAGGGCAATGAGAAACCGAAACAAGGAAAACAACATGTAGTAATAAAATCGAAGGTTAAGATAATACGATAATGGTAATAATCATACACATGATATGAAAAATGCGGAACATATACTGTACTTGTGTAAACAGTAGATGCACACAATAAATTCTTTTTATCTTTTGACAGCTCAATTCTACACACAACTGCGGGATTACCACAATCGAGGGGATTCCCCTTGGCATCTCTGCAGTCTAACTTCTTGGACCACCCCTTTCTAGCCATGTCTTCCTCCTTCCAGCAGAGACATTGTGTTTGAGCAACTGATTCAGCTGTTTAGGTGAGTACAGTTGTAGTTTGTAAATGTTATTGCCCACATAAAAAATTATAATTGTCTTTTACGGATCATCACAATCCCTATTTTAATTCTTAGAAGTTTTTTCTTCTAAAACGTAGATGATTCATGCCCCTTGTGTGGCTTAGTTGGTGTAATATATGGGAATTAAGCTGAAATGTGTTTTCAGCTGTGTATGAAGCATCAAAGACGAGGAGAAAGAAACTCTATCACTATTCTTTATTTTAATATAACTAGTAAAGACCAGTCTTGATTTGAGCATATATATGCTTATTTGTGCAACAAACTGAAAAGAAATGATACGTCACCTTATCTGACAAGCTAATAGCATTTCACAGCCAATTTCTGATTGCTGATAACATTGACTGAATCGTGGAACCTTAATTTCTGCATGGAAAATTTTATGCATGCCAGATTCCTCTTCTTCCCGTTTTTATTTGCATTTTGGGTTAAAATTTAAAGAATTTTAGTTATATGTGACAATATTATTAATGTGATATAATCTGTTATTAGGAAGTTATTTAGTACAGTATTGTTTTTTTAGGTTATTAATCAATACTTTAATAAAAAGTTACGTAGTTTTATTTCAAGTGACCTAATGGTGAAAATTTGACATGGTGCGGGTACAGGTACAGGTACATTGGGAAATGCTCAATTCATTGTAATAATGCCAACTATACTATCCGTAGCCACTTGCTACTGAAAGGTGAGACGAACGCTGAAATATCCTAGGTACTTGAAACCTTAGCCATGGCCATCATTTCCTGAACTAAATCCTCAATGAACTTGCATTGTATATCCTTGTTCAACAGAAACTCCTTCCATTTCTTCTGATTTTCCCTAATTAATTTACCTGGCTGCTTGTCAATCTCCACCATCACCATCTCCACAGCTTCCTTAATGTCTTCTTTACCAAAATACCCATCTTCATCTCTCCTATTTACCTCCACCCCAGCTTTCATATCCCCACTCACCAGCTTTGCATTCAGAAACTGGTCACCTTTCTGGGGCAACATAACCACTTGACAGTCATTCACTAGTGCCTCTATCACTGAACTGAACCCTGCATGACACACATAGCAACCTACACTAGAGTGAGCTAATATATGCTGTTGTTGCACCCAACCTGAATGAATAATTCCCTTGTCTTTAACTCTTTCTAGAAACCCTTCTGGTAAAGCTCGGTTTAACTCGACTGAGAAATCGACATTGGCAGGAAAATTTAGGACCAGAAAGAAAGGTAGCCCAGTTTGCTCCAGACCTAAAGCCAGTTCTTTGATCTGTTCATCCTTCAAGAAAGTTTCACTTCCAAAAGAACAGTAAATGACTGTTCCAGCTTCAAACTTGTTTAACCAACTAGACCATCTCTCTTCCAATTTACCAGAAGGTGGATCAGGGACTACTGGTCCTACAAGAAAAACAGGTTTATTGAATTGTGCTTTCACATATTCTATATAAGGGCCCTCCATTTGAGAACAAGTCTTGGCTAGTATAGCAGAGCAACCCTTGAGTCCTGAGAGTACACGGTCATATACAGTAGGACCACCATGGAAGCTCTTGAAAATGTATAGAAAATCTCGAGCCTCAAAGGTTTTAACTGAGGTGATAGAGGTGTTAGGAAATCCAGGTGGAGGTTTTTTCATGTCTTCCAGAGTTGGATATTTTTTGGGTTCAGGAACTCTAGCAGGACAAGTAAGAAAAGCAGTGGAAAGTGCAACAAAAACAGAGTAAAAGACAGTCTTGATCCCTAATTCATCAGCCATTTTTGGGAGCCATTCTTGAGCAAAATCAAAAAGAACAAAATGGGGTTTGAGATGGGTGAGTAGAGTCCTGATTTGTGGTTGCATAAGGTCTAAACCAACCTTGAGAAGTTCAGCAGTTACTGGTGTCAACTCAGCAGTACTTTCTGCACCAGGAGGTAGACCTTCAACTTGGGGAATAGTGAGAGGGACTATATGAGTAGTGGGAGCAGAATTCAACATAGATTTGACTCTGCTCGCATTGCCAGATGCGGTGAAGAAAGAAACTTTGACATCATGAGAGGCGAGCTTGTTAGCAAGCTGCACAAAAGGACTAATATGACCAAAAGCAAAAAATGGGAACATAACTACATGAAGAACATCATTTGACTTCTCATTCTCCATAATTGATTGATTCTGTAGTATAATTATGAGTGTGTTGTAGTGTTAGCTATGCAAATAATCGGAACTTTCATATATAGTAAGACGTGGAGAAGCCAAAGTAGGAGTAGGACCAAAAAGAGTAAAGACACAGGAAAAAAGCAGGAAGTAGAATGGTAGGTAGATGAATGGTGAGCTGATGAGCATTTCTAGGCCACAGGACAAAAGCAGGATGTAGAATGGTAGGTAGAATGAATGGTGAGCCGATGAGCATTTTTAGGCCTCGTGGACAAGGTGTCGAATATTTTAAGACTTGCGGTATTCTGTTGTAGGTTAGTATAACCATTTAATGACGCTTTAATGACCGCCACTTTAACGAGTAATAGTAGTTGTTTGGTACAAAGGTTTCTTATATCTTATGTACCATTTAAATACTACTAGTATTTATTTAGGTGTTAAATTTATAGCTTATTTTTTTGTAAGTTACGTGTAAAAGACACTACTAGTCATTTTAGTCAAGCTACCAAAAATAGCCTAAAAAATTACCAATAATATACAGCATTCATAAAATATAGGAAAAAAAGATCTTTTTCAATGGGTGGTATTGCGATTCATTAAAAACACATTGATAAGGCAATATACAAAATTTGACGAAGTTTGAGGGTGAGTTAGATTAGTTTGGAGTTAAAATTCATTATCAATAATAAATAATATTTTAAAAAAATAGGCAACAAAGGATTTTTTTTCCCCAATGAGTATGGTTGGAATTCGTCGAAAACATATAGATGAGACAATATGCATAACTTGAGCAAGATTGGAGGTGATTTGGAGTGGTTTGGTATCAAAAATCTCAGTAAAAATTGAGTTTAATTTTTTTTTTTCTGCGACGCATGTATCAAACATGTATAACACATGTATTTCACACACAGGTATACATGGATATACATGTGATACACAATTAGGAGATTTGATAACCACGACTTACAAGACAATGAATACAATTTAAGACTCTCTTCTATTAGCAAAAATTTGATTAATCTGTTTCTATGTACCTGATGAATATTACCTAGTTATTTATACTATGTAACTAGGTGCCGTCACGACATGTTACGGAGGGAGATTTGGGTTGTGACAAGTTGGTAACAGAGTTCTAGGTTCATAGGTGTTATCAGTCACAAGCAGGTTTAATATAGTCTCGCATATCGGTACAGAGACGTCTGTACTTATCAGTTACAAGCAGGTTTAATATAGTCTCGCCAGTAGCCCCAGTTCGGCCCGAGGGTAGTGCATCATTTTTAGGAGAGGAGCAGCTCAGGCTCGAGAGGTACAAGAAGTATCATCCTCCTACGGTCAGCCGGTCGAAGAGGCAACTTGGGAGACCGAGCATGATATGCGCAGCCGTTATCCTCATCTTTCACCACTTCAGGTATGTCTGTATGCTCGTTCGAGGATGAATAATTGTTTTAAGAGGGGGAGAATGAACGACTGGCCCGGTCGTTTTGAGAGTATTAGCCCCGATACCCTATTTACTGCTTCCTCTATATTTTTTTATGCTATGTGACTTGCCAAGAGGATTTGTTTTTTGTTACAGAGTGAATTGGGACACTTAGTCCCTAAAAGGGAAGCTTAAGTTCTAGGAATTTGATCGTAGTTAGAATTGTGTGAAGACGACTTCGAAATGGAGTTTTGTCGGTTTCGTTAGCTTCGTTGGGTGATTTTGGACTTAGGAGCATGTCTGGATTGTGATTTGGAGGTCCGTAGTTGAATTAGGCTTGAAATGGTAAAAGTTGGATTTTTTGGGAAGTTTAACCGGGAGTGGACTTTTTGATATCGGCGTCGGATTCCGATTCCGATTCCAGAAGTTGGAGTAGGTCTGTAATGTCAAATATGACTTGTGTGCAAAATTTGAGGACAATCGGACATGTTTTGATATGTTTCGGCATTGTTTGTAGAAGTTGGAATTTCTTAAGTTCATAATGCTTGAATTGGGGCGTGATTCATGTTTTTAGCATTATTTGATGTGATTTGACGGCTCGACTAATGTAACGACCCGATTGGTCATTTTAAGTATCTGCACTTTGCTCGGTATTTGAGGGTTCAAGTATCTCCGCAGGATGTATTATGACTTGCGTAAATCGTCGGTATTGGTTTTCGAGTTATCCGGAATCGACTTGGAAGAATGAACTTCGAGAGTTGAGTACTAAGTTGGAAGAGTTGACCAAGTTGGACTTTTAGCATTTGACCTCAGAATGGAGTTTCGTCAGTTCCGTTAGCTTCATTGGGTGATTTTGGACTTAGGGGCACGTTCGGATTGTGATTTGGAGGTCCGTAGTTGAATTTGGCTCGAAATGGCGAAAGTTTGATTTTTGGGAAGTTTGACCGGGAGTGGACTTTTGATATCGGGGTTGGATTTCAATTTCGGAAGTTGAAATAAGTCCGTAATGTCAAATGTGACTTGTGTGCGAAAATTAAGGTCAATCGGAGTTGATTTGATATGGTTCGTATGCTCGGTTGTGATTCTAGAAATCCTTGAAGTTTAGTTTGATTTTCATGCATTTTGGTGTCCGATTCGTGGTTTTAGAAGTTATTTTGATGATTTGAGCGCGCGAGCGAGTTCGTGTTGTGTTTTTAGACTCGTGTGCATATTTGATTTGGAGAGTCCCGAGGGCTCGGGTGAGTTTCAGAATGTTCTTGCATAGTTTTTGATTTCTGGTTCTGGTCGCATTTGCAAAGCCTGGGCGACTGGGCAGCTATTCACGTTTGCGATGAACCAGCCGCATTTGCAAAGGCTGGTCTTCGCATTTGCGATGTTTTTGTCGCAAATGCGACCTCAGCAGAAATCCTTCAGATTCGCAATTGCGATGAGTTTTTCGCAATTGCGGTCTTCGCATTTGCGAACCCCCTGTCGCAAATGCGACATCTGCAACCTGTTAAGTGCTGAGAATTGCGAGTTTTTGCTTCATTTTTCATATTTTTGAACCCTAGCTTCGAGGTGAGGCAATTTTGAGAGGGGATTTTCATATCAAATCATTGGGTAAGTATCTTTAATAAATTTCCAACTATATTTCATGATTTTATACAAGATTTAACATCAAATTCATGGGAAATCTATGGAAATTTTGGGAATTTTGTCAAAGTTTTGAAAAATAAAAATTTGAGATTTAAGAGTCGAATAAGACTCGGATTTGAAAACAAAATACATATTTGGACTCGTGGGGCTATGGGTAGTCAAGACCCACCTTTGGACCCGGGTTTTGACTTTTGTTGACTTTTTAGAAATTGAATAAAAATTATAGCTTTATTAATTGAAATTGTTTTCTCTTGCATTGTGTGGTGTATTCAAGTCGTCATTGGCTAGACTGAGTTGAGCGGAGGCGAATTTGTAGAGGAAAAGGCTAAGTTGAGTGTTGAGTTAGCCGAATCGAGGTAAGTATTTTGCCTAACTTTGTTGAGGGAATTTTTCCTCCTATTTGTCATTGTTTGCTACATGCGGGGGTGATACATATATGAGGTGACGAGCATATATGTATGTGCCGGGGTTAGTCATGCTCGGGGGCAGATTGTGCTCTAATTGTATCTTGTAGAATTACGTAACT